GTTCTCCAAATTCAAAAACAAGGGGAAAGACCCAGCAGTAAGTTGATGTTTAAGGCTTGTTAAGGTAATAGTTTAAAGAATTTAAACATCTTGACTTCTTGCAGAAACTTCGAGAGAAAAGAATTTCGGAGTGTGTGGAGCTGCGCAAAGCGCACAAGGATGAAAATTTTTCGAAGCGAAGAAATATTACCCTGTCGTCTCTCCCAGACGAGGACGCTCTTTCCCCTGGCCATAGCTCCAGCGAGGTCTGTTTATAAACCTTTTAGGCACTTAATTCAAAGTAGCTTATTCTCTAACAGTTGGTTGTCGTTTAGGAGACCTTATCCATTAAGGAGATCATTAGAGAAGTGAACTGCGACAGCAAGGCGTCTCAACTTCGGGGTTGTCAGGCAGCCAGGTGAGCTCTTTGAATGAAGATTTACACCGTCTGCACTTAATCAAGAGTAAAATTTGCTTTTATCCGTCCTAGCTCATAAATTGAATACCCGTTTGGTTTTTGGACTATCTGGGAAAACATTTGGGGGATGCCATCTGGGGCTTTGGGAAACTTTGGGTGTTCTGAATTTTCATTAAGCTGCCTCACAAGAAATTGGATAATTGAACATTTTCCTCTGGTGTTTGATCCACTGATCCTGAGATAAGAGTATTTTATCCACCCTTTCTTCAGGAAGCTGCTTTCCCAAGAGCATAGCCCTCCTCTGAAGGAGATCATAGATGCTGGTCTGCTGTCCAAATTTGTGTCCTTTCTGGCTATGGATGATGTGCCGTCTCTGCAGTTTGAAGCAGCTTGGGCGCTTACCAACATTGCATCTGGAACATCTTGGCATACACAACAGGTGTTAACACTAAACTAAAACTTGTGAAGCACACAAACGGCTTAACGTGACCATCTCTGAGTAACCCAAGTTCTCATGGTTTGTGAGGGGCTAAGAAGTCTTGCTTTGAACTGCTCTTTCTGGTTAAATTTGAACCACTTTCTGTCCTTAGGTGGTGGAACATGGAGCGGTACCAGCCTTCATCTCTCTGCTAGCTTCACCGATGCTGCACATCAGTGAACAGGCTGTGTGGGCTCTTGGAAACATTGCAGGTAAAATATCAAATTCAAAAATGTTTTGTCTAATTTCAGTGAATACCAAATATATGAGAAATAATTTCTGTCCAGTTGATTACTAAGTGGTTTGCCTCCTTATGGGCTACCAGCTCAGAGTGAGAAGAGACGCTGACTCATGTCTCAGTTTAATGTGTTCTGCTTTGCACTGTGAAGGGGTCAGTGTTGGATATGTTCAGTAATGGTGCACTTAATGGTTCACTGTGGCTTGTTGTACTAAATCACAATGTAACTACTTGAAGGTGATGGTGCAACATATCGAGACATCCTGATTGAATGCAATGTCATCCCAGCCTTACTGGCCCGCATCACACCAGACACACCGGTAAGTCAAATGATGGCTCTCCATTGTGCATCCAAGTGCTCTTTTCCTAGCCCCCCCCCCCCCAAGTTGTGGGGCAGCTTTATTTGTGCCAGAGGCCAATTGCTTTATTTTGTTCTTCAACTTGTACTGCAATTTTAGCTACATAACCCACCAACTTAATTAAACGGGCCTACGCTGAAGCTTACCCCACAGGCTTAGCATTGTGCTGACTCAAACAGTTAAGTGTGAAGGCTGATGCAGGAGAACAGGTGACATCTTTAAAATCCCCTGTTTCATGTTGTCCTAACACATGCAGGACGCTCAAACACTTCTAGTAACTACTGTGGCCTAGCCTCAAGCAGAGATAGAAAGTGAGGGTACAGAGTTCTAATGCTGTTTGGAGCCACAACCTTGCAACTTGGTGTTCATGCCAAATTTGAAGTCCTAATTATAAGGGGGGTGGCATGGAAAGCGATTGTGCCTGAAATCTGTTATTAAACTATAATGGCCATGGTGTCAACAGAACTATGATGCGCACAATCTCATCTGTCTCCCTCCATTCATCGTCCTGTACTCTGACCTTAACAGACTCAAACTTTGCATAGCTCCCCTAGAGCCATGTTTAGTAGTAGTAGTAGTAGTAGTAGTAGGTAAAATGACTTGCCCTTTAAGAGGTGAACGTTGGGTAGTCATTCAGTGTAAATGTCACTGCTGTGTACGTTTTATCACCCCAGGTTGGCTATCTGCGTAACCTAACATGGACATTGTCCAACCTGTGCCGGAATAAGAACCCATCTCCACCCTTGTCTGCAGTCATGCAGGTAATGAATAACTAACAGCATGAGTCTTGTATTGGCAAGATGACTAACGTGCTAACTTTTGTCCTCTCCCCAGCTGCTTCCATCTCTGATCCAGCTGCTCCATCTCAGTGACTCAAACATTTTGTCTGATGCATGCTGGGCCATCTCCTACCTCTCAGATGGAGATAATGACCGTATTGATATTGTAGTGAAAACTGGAATCATTCCTCGCCTGGTAGAACTCATGGACCACAAGGAGCTCAGAGTTATGGTATGAACTCAAATTCCTAAGTGTTCTCAGGCACTATCCACAACATTGTGGACTATAAAATACAGCTCATTGAGCCATGCCCTTCTCCCACTTTTCTGTCTGACCTCCAGATCCCAGCTCTTCGTGCCATTGGGAACATTGTGAGTGGCTCTGACCTGCAGACCCAGATGGTGATTGATGCGGGTGTTCTGAACATGCTGCCCAAATTGATGAAGCACCCACGGGCCAGTCTGCAGAAGGAGGCGGCGTGGGCCTTGTCAAACATCGCTGCAGGACCCTCTAAGCAAATCCAACAGCTCATCACCTGTGGCTTGCTCCCTCCTTTGGTAGAACTCCTCAGAAAGGTGAGTAAATTGTGAACTACTGCAGAAATGATTTTTGCAGGAATAGCATAGGTGACGGCAGTAAATGAGGCTTTAACTTTATCTAGCTGCTGGAAATTTGACATGCTGCACTGTAATTTAATGTATTTTAGAAACTTGCTACTTGTGATCTAGAATACGTCTGGATGCCTGGCAATGGTATCCTTTGATACGATAAACTCATTGTACGACTATTAAATGTTATGTTGGAGCATCTTGCCATTTATAAAGAGCTGCAGTTCTAAAATCGTTGTCACTTGATGGCAAAAACAGAACATGCTTTGCTCATTTCTTCTCAGGGAGACTTCAAGACTCAAAGGGAGGCAGTGTGGGCAGTGACAAACTTTACCAGTGGGGGTACTGTGGAGCAGGTGGTCCAATTGGTGCAGTATGGAGCCCTGGAGGCAATCCTCAACCTGCTGCAGGTCAAAGATGCTAAAGTCATTCGGGTGATACTGGATGCCATCAGCAACATCTTTATGGTATGGGTGGAAAACATCACCTTTAGCATCCAGTTGGTCTTTATGTATAACTGACTCGATGGGTCGGTGACTAGAAATGACTTCAGTTGCTGCGCATGGCTTTTCAGGCAGCGGAGAGGATTGGCGAGACGGAGAAGCTCTGTCTGCTGGTTGAGGAGCTGGGAGGACTGGATCGCATTGAGATGCTGGTGAACCATGACAATGATGTGGTGTACCAGGCTGCACACAACCTCATCAAGAAGTACTTTAATAACGCAAGTAGCATGGTCAATCTTAACTTGTCATTTTAATAGTGCATCTGTTTTGACACTAACGCGTGAGCGGCTCTTCAATTTTCCTCATTGTGGAGCATAACACTTGTAAGTTCTTAACCTGTGTTAAACTTGTCTCTAAAGGGGCGGTATATAGAAATGGCGGAATGTCTATTTGCAGTTTTGAAATTGTGGTTACTTTTTCCCTTCCTTCTAGGAGGAGATTGAGACAGTCGAGGTTCATGCTACTGGACTTGAGTGCTCTGATGTTCAAATAAGCTTTCACTTTTAAATTCAAAACTTTGATTCATGTTGAATAAAATGGCTTATTGTATATTAACACAAGTGTATTTGAGTCTGACTAAAAATAAGTGCAGCACTGGCAAACTAAGCAACAACACTACATATGTACAACAGTGACTTAAAATAATTTGACCATGTGTCACTGTCAGTATTCAAAACGAGGGCTACCATGAAGTTGACAAGCACAGCATGGACAACGACTAACCTCAACTCTTGCAGTGAGACTGAGCTGCTGATTATCTCTGCATATTTCTAAATGGCTGCAGCCACTCAATGGGTCCCTTGTTAAGCTAGAGACTTTTAGATGAAGACTGGAACAAGAGAATCCATTTATGTGAAATGAACTGGTTAACGTGCTGTTGAATATTCAGAGGCTGGGTTTTAAGTGACTTGTACTGTTGGAACATACATTGGCCCTGCAGGGCTGGGTTACACTTCAGTTTTAGCTAGATGTGAAGGAGTGTAGCTCTTATGTTTTCCTCTGTGGCTGCATTATGAATGCTCATTGTCAAAACTGAAATTTTTGTCAGTAAAGCTACTAGGTGACAGAACTTGGTAACAACAATTGGAGACCCAGAGGAATTCCAAAGCCAATGTATCTTTTGAACTGGTTCAGTGAATGAATTTTCACATCATGAACTACACTGAACTTTGCTAATTGCAGTCAGCTAAACTTGCAATTTTTATATTAAATGGACAGCTGAACAAGCATTTAAGGGGACTTTCCACAGAGCCTCATGTGATTGCATGCATTTCAGACTGATTCTGTGGAAATTAATTGGATCTTTAAGGTTTCGGTTTTGACTTCTATGGAAGTGTCACTGTTCTGACAAATGAGTTCCAACTACGTATGATTGTGCAATTCAGTGCAACACTTGTGCCTTAACACATTGGTTTATGAAACTTCTTAAAATGTATAAATTGAGGTCTTAACTATATGTTCCTAATATTTTGACCATGTACAGTGCCTTGCGAAAGTATTCGGCCCCCTTGAACTTTGCGACCTTTTGCCACATTTCAGGCTTCAAACATAAAGATATAAAACTGTAATTTTTTGTGAAGAATCAACAACAAGTGGGACACAATCATGAAGTGGAACGAAATTTATTGGATATGTCAAACTTTTTTAACAAATAAAAAACTGAAAAATTGGGCGTGCAAAATTATTCAGCCCCTTTACTTTCAGTGCAGCAAACTCTCTCCAGAAGTTCAGTGAGGATCTCTGAATGATCCAATGTTGACCTAAATGACTAATGATGATAAATAGAATCCACCTGTGTGTAATCAAGTCTCCGTATAAATGCACCTGCACTGTGATAGTCTCAGAGGTCTGTTTAAAGCGCAGAGAGCATCATGAAGAACAAGGAACACACCAGGCAGGTCCGAGATACTGTTGTGGAGAAGTTTAAAGCCGGATTTGGATACAAAAAGATTTCCCAAGCTTTAAACATCCCAAGGAGCACTGTGCAAGCGATAATATTGAAATGGAAGGAGTATCAGACCACTGCAAATCTACCAAGACCTGGCCGTCCCTCTAAACTTTCAGCTCATACAAGGAGAAGACTGATCAGAGATGCAGGCAAGAGGCCCATGATCACTCTGGATGAACTGCAGCGATCTACAGCTGAGGTGGGAGACTCTGTCCATAGGACAACAGTCAGTCGTATACTGCACAAATCTGGCCTTTATGGAAGAGTGGCAAGAAGAAAGCCATTTCTTAAAGATATCCATAAAAAGTGTCGTTTAAAGTTTGCCACAAGCCACCTGGGAGACACACCAAACATGTGGAAGAAGGTGCTCTGGTCAGATGAAACCAAAATCGAACTTTTTGGCAACAATGCAAAATGTTATGTTTGGCGTAAAAGCAACACAGCTCATCACCCTGAACACACCATCCCCACTGTCAAACATGGTGGTGGCAGCATCATGGTTTGGGCCTGCTTTTCTTCAGCAGGGACAGGGAAGATGGTTAGAATTGATGGGAAGATGGATGGAGCCAAATACAGGACCATTCTGGAAGGAAACTTGATGGAGTCTGCAAAAGACCTGAGACTGGGACGGAGATTTGTCTTCCAACAAGACAATGATCCAAAACATAAAGCCAAATCTACAATGGAATGGTTCACAACTAAACATATCCAGGTGTTAGAATGGTCAAGTCAAAGTCCAGACCTGAATCCAATCGAGAATCTGTGGAAAGAACTGAAAACTGCTGTTCACAAACGCTCTCCATCCAATCTCACTGAGCTCGAGCTGTTTTGCAAGGCGGAATGGGCAAAAATTTCAGTCTCTTGATGTGCAAAACTGTTAGAGACATACCCCAAGCGACTTACAGCTGTAATCGCAGCAAAAGGTGGCGCTACAAAGTATTAACTTAAGGGGGCTGAATAATTTTGCACGCCCAATTTTTCAGTTTTTTATTTGTTAAAAAAGTTTGAAATATCCAATAAATTTCGTTCCACTTCATGATTGTGTCCCACTTGTTGTGGATTCTTCACAAAAAATTACAGTTTTATATCTTTATGTTTGAAGCCTGAAATGTGGCAAAAGGTCGCAAAGTTCAAGGGGGCCGAATACTTTCGCAAGGCACTGTATGTAGCTGGGCAGGGCAAAAATATAGGAACCTAAATGTAATGTAGACCAGTACAAACCTTTAATGAGGACCTCAAACTGAGTTTGTAAATTTATGACAATTGCACAACATTTTGAGCTCCATAAACACAGATGTTAAGGTGGAAGTGTTGCATTGAAGTGCATGCAGGTGTAACTAAAGCAGCTGAGTGTATTTAGAAGTAGGGTTTGTGGTGTAAACATTCAAACAAGGGTTTTGTCAATAGCAGGCTTCTGGCTTCTTGTTGCTCATTAAACAGTCATTTAAACAGTTAATGACTCTGCAATTTATTTTTGGTCTAAAGTCATACCTGATCCATTTAAAGTATTTCTTTAGAGAAACGTTCTCATTACACATAGAGAACATTGGCAGCAGTTTCCCTTATTTCTTCAGAATAAATTATTTCTGATTCTGTCACTTGTACCAGGCATGTGAAACCAAAACTGTCTGTGTGGCTGGATACCACTTGGAAGTATACTCTGTGTGTGTGTGTGTGTGTATATAGATATACGTTTTGTAATATGGGGAAACAAACCTTCTAACCTTGCAATTTTGATTTTTCAGTATTGATGAAACTGTCAGAGAAAACCTGGGGAAGTTCTTGGTAATGTGGAGGTTTTGAGGGACAGGATGGCAGTTTTTACCCCACCCCTCTTGTATACACACCCACACCAGCTCGGACATAAAAGGCCACATCTAGGCCAACGACTTCACTCACCGGCTCAGAAAGTTGCCTCAGCTGCTTCCTGGTAAGATCGGTCAGGATTATGTCATTTTAAATTTTCTTTTGTACATTTTATTTGCAGCGTGTCATGTTGGTAGATTTTATCATTATGGAATGACAAAACTTTATTTTTGTGATACTGTAATGTTAGTGATTTTTAAAATAAGGAAAGTGTTTCTGCCTGTAACAGACTTGTCAATGAATTACAATATACATGCTCTGACTTGTTTATTGCAATTACTAAAACTAAAAATTGCTTTAAATCAGGTATCGTCACTGACGTTGGACATGTTCTTTGTTGTCCTCTGCTGCCTCTATATAGCAAGATCTCTGAATGCAGAGACGGTAAGTTAACGTTTAATATCAATTGATGTTATTTCAACATGTTGGAAGAACTGTACTAAAGTTATTTTATATGTAGTTTTTTTTTTTATTCAACAAATCCCATGAAAACCAACAATGTATTCATCTATCATTTAGTACTTTGACTTCCATACTTCCAATAACCTTAATAAGACTAAAGTCTTCAAAAATGGCTACAATTTTTTTTAAAAAGCACTCGGATTAACAAGATACCAGACTACTGAAACAGTAGAACATAGTGCATTTGTTTGGAGCTTTTTCACCTACAAATGAATGTTAATTTGGTATTATCACAGCAGGACAGTGTATATGGGATTGATTCAAAATAGAGTACACCGTGCATGCTCACGGCAATGAAGGAACACGTCAACCAGTGTGGTTCGCTGACATGTTAGGTTTTAGACAATTAACAATGCAGCTCTATGGCATAAAGTAACAAGATATTTTGGCTTTGGGCCACAGAGGAAATGGTTCGTTAGTAGGATTAATTCATTGTTTTGTTTTTTAGGGTTCATGGGATTTGTTTAGATAAGAAAAAATGTAAAATATCAGCCTCCTCATCAGTATTTGAAATTACACCTGCTGATGTCTCACTGGAGTAATGGCTGCAGTATCAGCCACAGATCATGAGAAATCTAACAGTACTTGCAGATGTTCACTGTTTTTGCCAGCCACTGGCTTTTGACTTTTTATGTAGATAGCAGTTACTGTCAAATTTAATTTTGCAACACAATCTAAATCATTTAAATGAATTAACTGGATTAAAATAACCCACTACGCTTCACATTTAAGAGTAAACTCCACACAGGGTACTCGGAGAAAAAACTTAGGACATGGTAATATTTCTCTTTCAATTTAAAACATGGCCAGATGTTGGTGTTTTAAAATGCATTTAATGGTGACTTCTCAGTCTCTTAACTTCGTTATCTTTCTGCAGTTGTCTGAAAAGGACACCACAAAAGTCCTTTTGAAAGGTTCTGATGTCCAGAAATTGGATGCTGCAACTTCACCTCTACCAGAGGCTACATTGGCCCCCCCATTAGGCTCTGAAGATCCTGTACAGGCTCAGAATATCACCACCCAGGCTGCCAAGCAGAAAATCACAGGTGCCTCACTGAAGTCCTGGTCCATCAGCATCCCTCTGAGCTTGTCTCCAGACTCTGTGGATGACATGTATTATGGTTGCTCCCAGAAGATGCTCATCAAAGTGCAACAACACTACCTCCCTCGAAGCACCAGGGAAGCGCTGCACACCACATACACAAAATTATGTGCCATTAAAGCCATGAAAACTAAGGACATCTATGACCCTCTGTCCTGGAATCACTTCAGGGCTCTGTGTGCCTACACAGCAGGGTCCTATGATGAGTTAAACCGAGCCGTCCGCAAAGGGAAGGCCTCCTACAAGACCTCGTTTGAGTTCCACGCCCTCCACTTCCTGCTGTCTGATGCCATTCGGCTCCTGAAACTCAACCAAAGGAGCTGCTACACTACCTACCGGAGAAGCAAACTGCTCTTCACCGGGGAAGCTGGACAGACCATCCGCTTCGGCTCCTTTGCCTCCAGCTCCTTGACCAAGAACCTGCGCCACTTTGGACAGAGGACCTGCTTTGAGATCCACACGTGTTTTGGTGCCCACCTCAAGTCCTACTCTGAGTTTGACTCTGACGAGGATGAAGTACTGATTCCTCCATATGAAATGTTCAGCATCGTCTCTGTTGATGTGTCAGGAGAGAACGACTTGGACTGTGATGTCGTCTACAAGCTTGAGACCGCTGGGGTTTACAGCAGCCTCAACTGCCAGGCTGTGAACCTTTAAAGCTCTTCAGTCTTCAGGGCTTTAGTTTTAACAGTATCATTTGTTACTTTGATACACTAGTCAGTTTTGCTATACTTCATTGTCTTAAATGTATTTAAAACCAGTTGACAGTTTCCTCTTGAGCTGGAAGCAGTAGCTGATGAAACAATCACACCACAGAGTCCATTCAGTTGTGACAGACTCCTTTGTCATGTACCTTTTTGTTTTTTTTAATTGAAGCACAAATTATAGACTACTGTGAATAAAACAATTCAGGACTACTAAAATTGTAAGTTACATGTATTTGTGTTTATTTGCTCATGCCCCTTTGTTCTTTAAAACCACGAGTCAGTCGGCCTGTGAATTCCTCTAACAGGAAAGTAGCAAAGTTAGAGGAAAATAATGCTAAGTCTGAGAAACAATCTGTTTTTGACACTGTAGGCACATTTACTGAAAAGCCAACTGATACTAGCTACTTTCTCTTCATGGCCTATGACTACGTACAACTAGATTATACTAAAACTCTACGAGAGAAAACTTTGATATCTCAGGGACCTACTCAAATCCATTTAATACACAAGTCACTCCATAAATAAGCATAGGCATAGCATCAGAGTAGAATATCCCTGGTTTCTACCTGTACAAAAATCTAGAAATGCAAACATGTCCAGGATGATTTTAGGAATGCATCTACAAAAGGGGACTAGAGGGCAATGCACGCTGGGGACGTCACCTAACACCTGTAACACACTCTGGGAGCGGTGCAAATTGCAGGACTACCAAAATGGCTGAGTATTTCAGTATTTCGTTACTGCGACGTATCAATGCCAGGCAAATAGGACAATAGCGAATCCTTGATGTGAGCTTTGTGATTGCAACCTATAAAATACCTTCCAGTCTCAATATAACAAAAAAAAAAGTCAGTTTGTATTGCTACCTTAATTTTCTGCTAACACTTCAGTTTGTTTTTATAAAAAAAAAAAATCAAGCTAAATTATCTCAACTTTAATGTGACATAGCATTTTCAGATATCTCCATTTATTTTACAATGTTATTTTCAATCTCATTATAGTCACTTATGAAAAACAAGCTAATTTCTGAGCAGACCCCCTCACCTGTCTTTTATCATCATGTTTTCTGGACAATGACTGTGAAATTTAATCTGCTGTACTGCCAGAATTCCCCGTGCATTAGGCCACAGTGACGGGACTCATAACCTAATGCAGCTGAGGTGAATAAGGCCACAAAAGGTGATGAAAATTGAGCTTTAGGATCTAGACCTGACACCCCTCAACAAAATTCATGTTTTGTTTTTTTTTCTTAGCGCTAAGATCTGTTCAAGTGGGCCCCACAGTTCACAGCTTTACGCAAGACAGCAAGTGTTTCAATATTGCACCTTCCTGGAGTTGCCCAATGTAAGAGGGAAAGAACCAGAAAGTTATTGCTAAAATATACACTAATTCTGAGTCAGTGTTTAAAAACGCTGTGGTCAGTACCCGGCGTTTGAAATAGAAATTACACAGTAAGTATGACACATGAAGATGGGTTGGCCCCTATGTGACCTGAACAAAATGGCTCTTCTTAATGCGCTAGAAGAAATAAATAGCAGGAAAAGAAAACTACTGGAAGGGGAGTGGGTTTGTGAACCACCAAACATCTTCTCCTAGTAGGATCAGTCTGTAACTGTCAGTGAGTGTGCACTCATCTACATTTTCTCGTAGGACAGTTCATGTCCACAGGTGGTGCAGGTTTTCTTGTAGAGGTCCTCCTCTGGATCCACCACCTCCTCTGGTCCATACTGATGCTGGTGAATGCTGGTGTCTTTGGTCCACACGCTGCTCCTCACCGCCCGGCGCAGCTCTGGCACACAAACGCTCATGTTTTAACCATCCGCACTGTAACTGATGTGTCATTTGAGAGTTTTGGATACAAACCTTTGACTTTCTTGTTGAAGCGCTTCTGCTTCTGCACCTCTCTGTTCTCTTCTCTTGTCTCCCTGGCTTCCTCCAAAGCCTCCTCTGATCTCCACACCTCCATACATCTCTTCTCCACCTGGAGTATATGCACAAACACCCACCGCTCAGACAGGCTCAAACAAAAAAATGTGTCACTGTCAGATATTGAATGGGGTAAAACTGTAAAACTCTCTCCAGAGAATTAAAAATTAGCTGAAATTAAAATTATTCAGACTTTTTTTTTTTTTTTACTAATGGACTTTAGTAATGTGTGACGATATACACTCACCAGCCACTTTAACTGTATGCACTTCGGTGCAACACTTCCACCTTAACATCTGTTCTATTGTCATCATGTAGAAGTTCAATTACATGGTTATTATTGAGGTCATAGTTAAAGGTGCTGTTGTACTGGACTACATTATTTTCAAAAAGGTGCCTCTATATTTTTGTCCTCCCCAGCTACATAATGAGAGTCAGAATATTAGGAACATCTCAATATAATGTAGCATTGTTGTTACCACTTTGTTGTGTAACAAAGTGACAGGCTCTCTCCCTAAATGTTCTCCAGGAAAACCAAGTTTAATTATATATTTTATTATAAAACCCCAAGACCCAGCCTTTTTCTATTTTTCTTTGTTTCCTCTCTTTGTACTGTTTAGTGATATATACATGGGAATATTCTGAGGAAATACATACTACGTAAATTGTACAAATATTAATTTACTGTAAAATTGCAGTGAACAGTATACAGTGAATTCAGAAGGTTTTCAGACCCTTTCAAGACTTCCACATTTTGTTATGTTTCAGACTCGTGTCAAATTGGATTCAGTTTGTTTTCTCATCATTCTGATGAACTATATCATTTACGTAAGTATTCAGACCCTTTGTTTGGACACTTGCAGTTGGGCTCTGCTGCACCCTATTCCTATCAATGGTTGTTGAGATGCTTCAACAGTGTGATTAGAGTCCACCTGTGGCTAATGCGCTGGATATAATTAGGAAAGACACACCCGTCTGTATAAAGTCTCACAGGAAAGGACGGTGTCAAGACAGATCTGGAGAAGGATACAAGAACATTTCTGCAGCACTCGGCATAGGAGCCTCCATCATTCTCAAATGGAAGAGATGTGGAACCAGCATCTGTCTTCATAGATCTGGCTGCCCAGCAAAACGGAGTAATCAGGTACAAAGGGCCTTGGTCAGACAGGCGACCAAGAACCCAAGGGTCACTATGAATGAGGTCCAGAGTTACTTTTGGGAGATGGGAGAACTTTACAGGAGGACAACCATCAGTGCAGCACTCCACCAATCAGGCCTCTATCACAGAGTGGCCAGACAGTAGCCATTCCTCTCTAAAAGGCATCTGACAGCCTGCTGGGCGTTTGCCAAAAGGCAGCTGAGCAACTCTCAGGTCATAAGGATCAAAATCATCTGGTCTAATGAAACAAAGCCTGAACTATTTGGCCACAATTGCCAACAGCGTGTGTGGAGAAAACCAGGCACTGAGAATCACCTCACTAATACCATCCCTACAGTGAAACACCGTGGTGTCAGCATGAGACTGTGGGGAGGTTTTTATGTGACTGAGACTGGGCTGGTCAGGATGGATGCAGAAATATACAAAATGAAGGAAAAGCTCCTCCAGAGTGCTCAGGCTGGGGTGAAAGTTTATATTTCAACAAGAAAATATTCAGGAAAACTCTGTGAAAGTCCAGGATTGGCCCAGCCAGAATCTGGACCTGAACCCAACAGAGTATCTCTGGAGAGACCTGAAAATGGCTGTACACCAACGTTCCCCATCCAACCTGGCTGACCTGGAACGATTCTGCCAAGAATGGTAGAAATGTCCCAAAAAAAAGTGCCAAGCTTGCAGCTTTATTTTCAAAAAGACTTGAGGCTGTCATTGCTGCCAAAGATGCTCTAAGCAAGTACTAAGAGAAGCATCTGAAGACTTATGTAAAAGGGATATTTCAGTCTTTTACCTTTAATACATTTACAAAACACTGTTTTCACTTTACCATTGTGAGTATCATGAGTCTGAAACATAACAAAATGTGGAAAACTTGAAAGGGTCCAAATACTTTCTGAATAATGTATTAGAGTAGACTTTAATTCTTCAGTTGTGTTGCCTACTGTATGCTGAGTAACATCACATCATCTAAAAATATTTAATAATATAACATTTAAGACATTTACAGTAACATAGAAGAGCAACAAATCCCTTGACTGAAAGCCTTAAACCAATCAATTGGTTATCAAAACTGTGGATTTATTTACTTTTTATTCTAATTGATTGAACAACTAATTATTTCAGCACTACTTTGGTTTGTTTGGGGCCTGATGTCATTATTTATATTGTGGTCTGTCAAAAAACAAATTTACATCCTTCATTGATGCCGTTACCACACATTTGGTGACACTACAAGGTGTTGAAACTATTAAACACAAAACTACAATATGAGCTTGCTTCATTTTTGGTAATGATAATCACTTTATTTGGCCAAGTATGTTATGTTTGATTTTAACTAATGTGGTTATCAGCAGAGGGCTTGTTTGCTGTCTGCTATATTTTTCCTAAAGTGCCCTTTTTGTGCCAGTCAAATCTTAAATGTTCATTAAAACATATGATGTGTTTGTTTTAGAGTAGTGAAAACTGATTGGTACCTATTTACAGATGCTGCAATATGAAGCCATTCTTCCGCAATTCAGTGTTTATAGTCAGCTGCATGCCATTCAGATCTCCTATATTTCAAATGTTACGTTACAATAAATGTTTTGGATTTTTTTAGGCTATGAATATGAAAAGTAGCAAAACAATCTCTGCTAAACATCAACATTAGTCAATATGGGAATTTTTTTTTAATGTTTTTTCCTCCTAGAACTATCACCACACACTTGTCCACAGTCCATACCTGTAGTTTGAGGTAGAGCTTCATGTCCCCCCAGCGTGCGTTGTGAGGATTTTTCTTCAGTATAAACCTGAGTGGAGGTTCTCGCTTGTCCAGGTCGCAGTCCTTCAGGAGGTAACGCTTCTTGGCCTCAGTTCTGGAGATGAGCTTGTGCTTCTCCTCGTTGTCTCTGATGAGAAAGATGTTTAAATTGTTTGTATTTAAACAATCTGGTTGTATTCTGGACATAAAAAAAAACTATATTTCAGATATTTTGTGAATATTCCTGTGCATTCAAATGGCAAAAATCGAAAGTTTCATTTCTGTGAAGAAAAAAAGCTTAATCTTTGTATAGTAACACAGAACATAATGATGTTCTTGAGAGCAGTATGACATTTTCTGATAGAGATCGGAGGTATTGACCAACTAAATTCAAAATGGACCTGATTGCTGAATGGGTTCAGCTTAATAACATTTTAATTTCAGGACAAACGGTGCATGGCTGCCAGTTTTGCACCTGAATATGCACATTGCTTCTTGGGATTGTAGGAAGAGAAAAGTGTTTTTACAGTAATTCTGATGTAAATAGTACCTGCACTGGTCACAAACCGCCAGGTCAAAGCTGTTGCTGAGGTAGGAGTCCATAAAGGGCTTCTGGCAGTCATCGCACACCAGGTATTCTGGTTCAATGACTGGAGCTGGAAATAAATCACAGACATGTGTATGTCAGTGTCAGTGCCAGTGCATGTGTAAGTAACCACACACGCGTGTACGCGGACACGCACCTAGCTGATGCACCACCTTCTTGACCTGCTCTTCCTTTCCGTCCCCCTCCTCCTCGATAAAGAAGCCCGCGCCGGAGTCGATGGTTTTGCAGACTTTGGCCGAGGTTGCGCCCTCAACGGCGGACAAAGGGCGGCTCGCTAGTCGGGCTTGCCGGAGCATCAACGCGCGCTGCCGGTTCCTCTCGATTTTAGCCCGAATCGCTGCAGACAGCTGGGGCTTGGGACTCTGTTCCAAACCAGGCCCAGCGGCACCCACCCCCTCGGACCCTGACGGCTCCATAGTCCTTCAAATAACGACCATCACATGGAAATGAATGAAATTACTGCAGACCGCTGCCGTTTCGCTCAATGTGAAATGCAGTCCATGGCTGTTACAAAACAACCAGCAGAAGGCATCCGGCTTCCGGCTTCTTCTTCGTCCTCTTCTTCTTCTTCTATCTTTTAGGTTCTTTACCGCCACCTCGCGACTTCGGGCGGTGGAGGACCAGAGTTAAAATCCCACTCACGAGTGATCAAAGAAAAACCTACTGTATCTGCCTCCTGAACAAGTTCATCGCTGTCTTGATATTAAAAATCTGGATTCTAGCCTGAGACCTTTAGTTATTGGCTTTGCTGATTATAAACATCACACCCCATGATTGCATGGTTACTTTGTGGGTAGCACCAGACTTTTGAAAATAATATTCCTATATGTACAGTAAAAATGGTTTTTGGAAGCTGAAATTGCTCCCTTTACCCATACATGCCACACAGAGATCTTTTAAAGAGATGCTTGCTAAAGTTAAACTTAAATGTTGAGGGTGGAATAAGGAATCAGGGTGGATTTTACAGTACTTCTCCACAAAGCTCCCAGAACTAGAGCTAGAATCACATCATGTTCATCAGTTCTTCTCCTTCCATTTGTATAACAGTAGAAAGTAGAAGACCTAAACAAACCTTAACAAACAAACTAAACATAGCTGTAACAATTCCACATGAAAAAATGACTGATGCAGACACTTGCAGTGATAAAGCGGTTTGTGTGACATTGTCTCTAGCCTGTTGGTTGGTAGGCATGTACCTTATACTGTAGTGAGTGGAGTAGCCAGTGGACAGGAATGCAGACTGGTGATTATGTCCATTATTTGTTGTCCTTGGGAGTCCAGTGAATCCCTGTTACATCACACTGGTCATGGCAGCAGGCCATGAATGCTGCTTTAAGAGGCTTGTGTCAAAGTAAAGCAGATCACCTCCTGGTACATGACACTGCAAATCTGATTGGTGTTATGAGGAGGCTTGAGAGGTAACGTGAACTGACTTTTTGAATATAGGCTAATCAGATTCATTTACCTAAAAAGTGTATATTTTTTTAAATTAAATTCAATATTCTGAAAAATTTATATGAGTGAAACTGACCATGTTTTCCATTTCAAGGTTAAATTTAAAAAATCCAAAATAAAAGAATTAAGCAGGACACCATGCTTTGTATATATTTCTCTCTCCTGCACTACTGTAAGAAACACAACAGAGGAGGGTGTTATTCACAGTTGACAGTACCTTTCTTGAGCATTTGTTCAAGACTGGTGGTGCATCTTGAAAATAGCTGAGAAAGTTAATTATCGTGGACATTTTAATATCAACTGAGACATGACACTCACAGTGACACTGCTTGTATGTTTAAAATGTGATGTCAGCTGATCATTTGTTCCTCCACCTACAGGACCTTTGTAAAACAAATTTCTTGAGACCCTAAAGGTATCACTACTACATCTGGTTCACATCATGTTTCCCTCCACCTGTCTTTATAGGGTGTTTGCTCATAAAATACAGACTTTGCTTTATTGTGGTTCTTCAATTGTTTAATACTTTTTGCAACCTCTTCACAATATTTGCAATATAGGATGCAAACACACACTTTACTTTGTTCACTTTTTGAAAATGTCAATGGAAATTTTATGTACTAGTTTTAATTTTCTACTACAGCAGGAAATGCTCTGCTATTTCACTAGCTAAGCAATGATGTACAACAGTACATCTAACTACAGAAGTATTAGAGGACAACAAAGTTTGTGCCAAAATACTCAAATGTAACAAAGTAAATCTTTTCAACAGTCTCCATATTTTTGTTGCAGAATAAAAATATGGGCCTACATCATGTTTCTTATAACAATACTTGCCTTTCACACACCCAATAAGAAAGTATGTGAACACAGCAACGATGGCCCAGCGTTAGGCCTTTGATAAAATACAAAAGGCCTACAGCAGTGAACGAGGAAAAAGAATCCAAGACAAAAATACTACTATTATTTGCTTTCATATATAGATATGTATTATACAGTACATGTGTTGCTCACATTAAAACATTACAGAAGAAACCCAGTGATAACTATTGATATTGAACATGACGTTTTATAAATACATAACTCAAAAAACCCTTTGTGTTTAACAAGTAAAGTACACTGCTCAAAAAAATGAATGGAACACTAAAATCACACACTGGATCTTGATGAACAAATTACTGCCAATTCTGGTGTTCTCTGGTAAATGCCAGTTGGGCTGTACAGTGGGCTGTGAGCACAGATCGTACTAGAGGGCGTCGGGCCCTCATGGAGTCTGAATCTGACAGTTGGTCAGAGACATGCACACCAGCAGCGGCTGCTGGAGGTCACTGTGTAAGGCTCTCACAGCATTCCTCCTGTTACTCCCTGCACAAAGGTGCCCTGTCCAGCTCTCCTGGTGTAATGGCTGGTCTCCTGGTATCTTCATGCTCTTGAGACTGTGCTGGGAGACACAGCAAACCTTCTTGCGACTGCACATATGGATGTGCCATCTTGGAGTAACTGGACTACCTGTGCAGCCTGATTGTGCTGCAGGTTCTACTTCATGCCACCAGTAGTGGCAAAGACACTGGCAGGACACAAAACCTGAGAAGAATCAGATCATTTTTCTGTGGCCACCACATGCAAAACCATTCCGTTTTTGGAGACTGATATCCCTAAAGTTTAACTGACTTGGTGTTATACTGGGATCATCAAGTGTTCCCTTAATTTCTTTTGAGCAGTCACTGACCTATGATCTGTTGCTTGTTGTCCAGACTACATCATCTCCTTTGATGTAAACATGATACTGACCTGTTCATTACTAAGGACATTTCCATGACAAACATTGTCTCATGTTAGTCACAGTACTGAAGTGATAACTCTCTAAACTGGTGTGTGAAAAGGCAAAGGGGTTAAACAGAACAGAACAGGTGATCTGTGTCATGTTATCCATTTAATGTATAATAATATAGATATTCAAAAATGGGAAATAAAGTAACAATTTCTGCCAAATGTGACTGGTAATGCCATGTACTGTATTTGAAAAACACACTATATATTTCTCTTTTGAAGACATTGCAAAGTGGGGGTGGAATGGCCAGTTCCAATCTAAAGGTCTATGAAACAGCTACTTCACGGATGTGATTTTCCATGATGCATGAGATCTCTCTAGTGCTTTGCTGCCCTCTTAAGCAAAAAATAAAGTCTCTTTCAGTGCCCATATTCAGTTTATTAACATGGCCGCTTGCTGCACAGTCCTTTGGTTAAAAAGAAAACAATATTCTTGATGAATTTTAAATTGAAATTTCCATCCCCGCTGATGTTCACGTAAGTTGTCCGTCCTTTCAGCTGGTTTCAACCATTAGCAGCTACTAAATGTAGTTACATGGTACAAAAAGACCACTGCTGCCAGACTATGATGCACCACTCTGCACATCTAATAGCCTTCATTTGTAGGCCCAGCTTGTGACTGAGTGTGTGGGTACTTGTGTCTGTGTGTACACAGTCTCCTACGATGTGTATGTGTGAGACATATGAGAGCTACTCTGTGTCTGCCTGAGCGTGTTTTTGCACTCCTCTAGTAAATCATGAGTCCATTCGTGCTTTCTGACAATCAGTAGAAATGGCGCTCTGTCAGACAGTCACAGGGCAGGTGATGATTTTGTCTTCTAGCATGACGCTGACGACGAGGAAGACAAAGTAAAGCAGGAACATGAAAAAGCCTAGAAACTTGCTCATTTTCCACTTGCAAGCTGCAATGGAAATGGTAACAAAAAGGAGCATTAGGAAGAGGAGGACGATGGTGCAGAACAGGCCGTTGCTGCTCACTTCTACTGACTTGAAGTCATTGATAATGTTATAGAGGAGCCAGGGGAACGGCAGGCTAGAGGTGGAGGAGAGAAGAAAAGCACATTTTTATTTTAAAAAGGATGTTACACTGGTCTATGGCGCTGAGTGCTGTTTGCTAGACTCACCCCACAGTGATATCAAAGATGTTGGAGCCCACAGAACTGGACACAGCCATGTCGCCAAGGCCCTTTCGTGCTACAATCACACTGGTGATCAGGTCGGGGATTGAAGTGCCAGCTGCTAGTATAGTGAGACCCATGATCTCCTCTGTGATCCAGAAAGTTTCTCCAACCTAAAAGAGCAAACAAGCACAATTTTTAGAAGCTTAATAAAGTCAGAAACACTGCCATCAACCTCAGAACATTCTTCTTGTCTTGTTGCATTGATGCATTTTCAGTCATTTTATTCTTTGGCTGACATGACATGGGTAAGGTGCATATGAAGGGAACTTCAGTGTAGTAGTTTTATGTTGTAATCGTGTCACTAAAGTAAACTAGAGAAGAGCAAGAAAATGTATAACTTTATTGTCTTTTATTCGCTTCTGTTGTTATTTTTGGCCTACAAAGAGTCAGTAGGTGCACAAGCAACATTATGCAGCAAAATAAAAATGACCACTGAGAACCCCTGGGAGGTGAGTTCCACTGTGTTTAATACAGCTGTTTACTGTCATGAGCCCTTCAGCGAAGACAGACAGTGGAATGATTCATCAAAAAAAGCTCTGATTTACTGTTGCACACGTTGCTCTGCACCTATGGGAACTGAACAAGCAGGTGCACAGTTACCTTGCAACACATGACCTGCTAAAGTAGAGCATTACGTGTTGTTCTGGCTGTGTATCAAGGCAGATCAGTCAGCATTAGCTGCTGCAGTCGCACATTCAACACCCTGCCTGCAGCACTCAGATAAGAAAGGCTTCAGAAATAGAATAAAATAGTATATGTGTATGTGATAAACTACTGCAGAAAAAAATCAATTCTGTATTAAATATGGATTTCACAAACAGTTTGAGTGTGTGTGCACAAGCATGTCTTGTACCTGATGAGCCCACCACACCATCAGGTAGGAAAAGAAAGCGATCCAACAGATGGAGCCAAGAAAAGTGATGGGGAAGAACTTTGATGAGGTCTGAAAACAAATGAATAAAAAAGATATCTGTTCAATAAATCAATATGTGGTTTTAGCCCATGCAGCCAAAACCTATATACCCAAATCATCATTTTCAAGAACCTACAGATTGTATGTAAAGAAACAGAAGAAATGTTAAATCCAAGTTCTATCATTCTGCAAAGAGTGCACTGTAAAATCAGAAGTAATTCAGATTTGTAATACTGTAAATATACAGCGAAAATGGTTGAACATACTAGGTCAATTATCACTGCATTCAGGACTGATTTTAAACGTTTGGTATTTGTTTTTAAAGCATTATATGGGTTAGCCCCACTGTATCTCTCTGAAATTTTCAAACTCCGCACTCCCTGCAGGGGCCTCAGGTCATCTGACCACACACTTCTGGTCATTCCGAGGTCCAGATTTAAACTCAAAGGAGACTGTGCCTTTGCCGTTCTTGGCCCTAAGTTGTGGAATAGCTTACAGCCAGGTATTTGAGTATCACCAATACTGGAATTGTTCAAGTCTTGCTTGAAAACCCACCTTTTTTTCTATGTTTAAACCAAGTATTTTTGTTTTGTTTGTGATGATTAATTGTTTAGTTGTTTCTTGTTCAGTCTGTTGTGTTTTATTGTCACCTGTTGTTGCTTTTAAATGTGCTTATGAATACATTTTGATTAACTGATTGATAAGAACACAGTATTACACTTGAAAACAAATGATCCTGAATATTTTCTTGTGTGGGTATATACTGGGGGCAACAGCACATATTTCTACAAATGAAATGTGTGTGTGTGTGTGTGTGTGTGTGTGTGTGTGTGCTGTCACCTGTCTCCTGACGTCGGGCAGTGTGACCCACAGTGGAAGGACAATGGGCAGAATGAAGAGGTAGGTGAGCCGTTTCCTGTTGGTGTCAGGCCAGTCCAGGCTCAGAGGCTGGTCTTCATCCTCCTCTTCTTCACCACTCTGAGGAGGAGGTCATTACTTTACATTGTATACTGCACCGATAAATTTTCATGGTGGTAAACATACAGATCACTGAGTTAAAGACTCTAATTATGTTGTTTTTATAGCAGATTGAAATCAAGTGTTTTTCACAGGCTTTTTGCTTATGAAGGGAGTGATGCTGACGGCCATACCTCGCCTCCTCCTGCTACACCGTTCATGGGAGGTGTGACTTCCACTGCAACTTTTGTATTGTTGCGGATGTTTTTATCAGCTTGAGGAAGGGAAAAAGTAAGAGAGAGAGTGAGAGGAACAACAGAGATTGAAACATAGAACAACTGTAACATCTGGAGAGTAACTGACAGTTGTGCATATTTTAAAACAATAAAAATAAAACATCTTCTCAAAACACTAACTTACTGTCTAACCTGCCCATCATTCATTCATTTGTGATAAACAAACCTGTTGATTCGTGTGCGTATTATTTTAATCATTCATCGGTAACCACAGTTCTTACCTGAAGAGTGACTACATCACTGTTACTCACCTACACCGTTGGCACTGACACCATCTTCTTTACACTTGTGCTTGGCCATTTTGTGAAGGATTGACGCCTTCTCTTTGAAACGTCCTGAGTCAGAAGAAATAACACTTCAGTCAGCCCAAATTCACCAAAATCTCTAATAATCCCACTTAACCAAACACATGTAACCTCAGCCAAACTGTTTTATGTGCACAAGCATAACCAGAACTTCCATCCATTATCTATAGCATTTATCCTAACAAGGGTCGCGAGGAAGCTGGAGTCAATCTCAGCTGACATTGGGCGAGAGGTGGGGTACACCCACAAACAACCATACACTCACTCCTATGGGCAATTTAGGTCCACCAATCAACCTAAGCTGCATGTCTTTGGACTGTGGGAGGAAGCTGGAGTACCCGGAGAGAACCCACACAGGCACAGGGAGAACCTGCAAACTCCACACAGAAAGGCCCTGGGTCGGACCGGACTCAAACCTGGAACCTTCATAACCACAACTTTATCTTTTCAAATCCTAAGTGTTTTTTCTTACCCATACCTTCATCACTGAGGGGGTCCAGTGTGTGTATCATGAGCTGGAAGATGCTGTTTCTCATCAGTGAGTTGTGTAGAGAAGCACAGCTGCCTTCTCTCTGCAGCCTGGGTTTGGCCTGCAAAAACACAAATACCAAAATATGCACATAAAACCGAATATGAATATTTACTTATTCACAGTACACTATAAATACATGCAAGGAGTTTGGACACACACAAAATAAACTTACAGTTAGCTTGTGCTCATCATTTCCAGGTGCATTTACCTTTAGGGAAAAACAAGAAGAAAGAAAACTATGAGCAGTGTAAGCTTTCACCAAAAATCTAACCAATTCCATGCCAGTTATGTCATTCACATTGAAACTCCTACATCCTCCAAAACTTATTCTTTTTTTGTTTGTGATTTCAGCAGGTTGCAGGAAAGGATTCAAAATGACATGTAACTAAGCACGTGGCAGAGAAATTGAGCAAATGTGAAGAAAACGGTTACAAAATAAAATAATCACAAGTGACATTCACTCTTACAAAATGGAAGGTAATGTTATTATAATACCTTGTTAAGAATTGTATGCAACTTGCAACAATATTTTATTTTTATATGTATAATAGCACATTTATAGATCAGACCATTTGGAGAAAGATATAGAAAACACAAATGTATTTACAAATTCCATCTATTAAAAAGCCACATAATGTCATCCATATGTTGTTGAACTCAACATTTAATGCCAATTATCATTTTATAGAGAATTGATAAGTTCAACTCATCTCTCTTTCACTGACTGGTAATGTAATACAATGTGAGTAAAAAGATGCCTTGTTGTTGTTATCAGTCATTTTATGGCTCGGCCGCTTGTATATCTATAAAGTGTTATCACAAGGAGATCTGGACTTGTTCATGCTGTAGGCTAAGATAGAGCTATGCAGCACCCGAAGAAGACAAAAGCTGTACTAAATGATTTGAACTGAGTTGTTATTCCAGGTCAGTGGTCGCATCCTTAGACCAGACAGGACTGGACCAATGCCAAGATGCTGCTGCTGCTGCTTTCCAGTGGATTTACTCCACTAATTCCCCTCACCCCAATTATCATCACTACTGTTATTAAATCAGATCAGCATTTCAAATCTATGATTCCTCTCTCTCCACTGTCCACCTGGGTGTCTGAGCTTTGGGACTTGGCCAGAATTAATCAGCAGAGATCACTTCCTTTAGACTGGCCATTTTAAAGCCTGAGTGTGAAGCCCCACAGCGACCTTCACAGGTCACCATGCAGGCAGACATTTCCCTTTCACACCCTTCTGTCAGCAAACCCCTGCTACTGGAACTTGCTCATTATAATTAACATTTTAACACATATTTCTTTCACTGACAGCAGATTTCAGATCGCAGCGACCAGGAAGTACAAACTGCTATGGAACTAAAGCAAACTGAATGAAGAAAGGTTTTGCCATCATCAAATAAAAGATGGTTTTATCATTTCATGTGCAGTTTGCTGGATAAATAGATCACAATGTGAATGAGCATTCTCTTTTAGGACTGTTAAAAATTTTCACCTACTGGCAACAGCAGAATTACTACTGGTAACCAAACATGCAAAATGCATCATTCTTTTCTACATGGACACTAGTGTCAGGACTTCTTCTGTGTATCCACTTTACAACATCGTTGTGTCGCAATCCGTGCAGAACAGAAACTCATGATATCATGAAGAATTTGGTCAGTGCTCTGCAGAAAGACAGTGTGATGGGCTGTATGTTTGCTGTCGTCAATGCAGGTAAGCAGTTGTTAAGGGGATCGGAGAGGATTGGTGTCTTCAGTGCCATCAGCAAGAAAACCAGTGCATCCTCTCACTCACCCCCTGTAGACACACCGCACAAACCCACTTGAATCATCCTAAATTACACACAAAATAAAAAACTGCATCACAGTGTGAGCATGACTGCAGGAAAGGAGGATTCAGTCTTTTCTCTCAGTGATCTACTGATTCCTGCACCTCCAAGGGGGCATATGACTATAATTAGTGGCTCTAATGGGATTGGACAGTATTAATCTGGGGGATTATTTAGCAGGCAGTTTGACATCAAGTGCCAGAGGACAGAAAGATAAAAGCTATTCTTGGGTTTAGGTGAGGAAGACTAAGGAAGAGCTGAATCTCACGAGGGCACAAATGATAACCAGAGCCTCTGCAGCAACACTGATATTAATAGAGGTTGGTGAGTGCAAAAGAAGATGAATTAAGTGGATCCAATTTAAGATATATTGTACAGGTGAGATGATACACTTGGGGCATGGGAAAAAAAATCTTACAGTTGTTGTTATGTACAGTTTTGATATGACTGAATATAATAAAAGTACTGAATGAAAACTGAAAA